AAGGTATTGAGTCTGCACAGGTGAAGATGATGGTGGATTGTCTTTAAAACAACTTTAGTAGGATTTGGGAATGAAAAGGGTGGTGTGTAACTGCTCTGAATTGGTTACTACCATTTTTAATGTTGATTGCAGCATGCAGCCATAACCTAATCCCATAGCTGTTGAATCAAATCAATGCTGGACTGAGACACATAAAATAATTCTCAGCTGGCCTCGAAACCACTAACAATTTTTAACAAGAAAACTGCAGTCACCAGCAGTCAAACTCAACTTTACTTTTTTACTTCAACCATTCCTGAAAGAAAGCATACACAGGATGATTATCTGCTAATATCTATCCCACAGTAGAGAGCAGCAGTAATTTCATTTCTGCATTTCATGCTTGCAATGTCTTTTTTTCCCTCGACTGTGAAACTGTTCAGGTACATCATTCCCTTCCTCAAATTATCTACAAGAGATGCAAATCAAAGGAAAATAGTCCTTGCACTCATGGAAGGAAGAAAGCAATCTCTGTTCAGTAATTTAATGGAAGTTAATTTAATGTATTCTGACCTAATGTTCCAGCGGAATCAACTTTTCACCCAGTTAAGTGCTAGCTGAGCTGTTTCTTGATATGTGTCATACTTCAAAGGGAAAAAAAAAAGTTGAGGAAAATAACCAGAGAACTTTAATTCTCATAGTTCAGAATGTAGAAAATAAAACATTAAGATCAAAACTATAGTGACTTTTCATTCATGTTACAAAGAGTAGATTAGCTTTGCTACTGAATATACGCTCAATAGGAAGCCGCAAGCAATCATAGTTCCCTGATAAAGCTACCTCTATGATAAACATGGTTTGAGAACATGTTATAGACACAGACTACATTCACACCTACAAGTATTCTTCTAAAATTGTAAACATTCTAAGGGAAAATCTCAAAAAGCATTAATTCAGCAGGCCATGCAGTCAATTGCACTAAGTTCACAACTGGGGTCAGTAGATTAAAGTTTTGCTATTCTTTATTTGCATTACAATCATTTAGATGCATACGAACTCTGATAATCCATTGCCTAGCGTTTAGAAGGAACTGTTGATTATTCTAATTTCAAAAAAGGAATGGAAATATAAACTGGTTTTACAAAAGCCCAATAACGCCATATCTGGTTGAAACTAACCATACAATAAGAACCCTAACCTTGACCATTCTCTTGTTTCTCATTCCATCAGCACAAAGATGTTAAAGACAATGGAATTGCTACCTAATATGCTATGCCCTACAGCAGGGGTAGGCAACCTTGGCTCTTTTGTGACTCGTGGACTTCAAGTCCCAGAATTCCTGAGCCAGCATGGCTGGCTCAGGAATTCTGGGAGTTGAAGTCCACAAGTCATAAAAGAGCCAAGGTTGCCTACCCCTGCCCTAGAGTTAGATGTGATGCTCAGAGGACAGAGACGATACCCTATTTTGTTTCCCTCAGCAAAGGGAATCTTTATTTTTGAAAATGAGCTGATATATGGTGTTGAATTGCCAAGCTGCCTAGATACAGTAGCTTATCCTTATGGAAAACAACACAGTAGTGATGAATGAGAGTATCGTGGACCACAGAGCCATAGAAAAGGGATTAAGAGTGAGTGAACTAAACATTGCTTCCTTATTTACAAGTTAGAACAAGTATTCTATTGTTTCAGAAGGTGGGATAAGTTAATGAACCTAAATTAACACATTTCCCTTCATAGAGGCTCTTTGTATGATGGTTCATTTGTAGAAGCAGAAATTCTACGACTCAAAATCAGAGGCCTTATTTGGAGAAAAACATCCTACCACAGAGTCCCTATATGGGGAACAGCTGAGGCTGGCTGATTTGCGGGATGGGGTTGATTTGGTTTTTTTAAAATCCATGCCTACCCAGAGGAAACAAGTTGTCTGGAAATGTGTGCGCACATGTGTCAAAAAAATCAAGACAGAATTTGCAACTGTGTGACTGAAGCCCATCTTTTGTACACTCAATGAATGTAGAAAAAGGATGGAGCTATGATCACAAGGTTTTGGACTCCATCTGTCTTCTTTGAACCCTCTGGAAGATGTCTCAGAGGTGAAGCTTTAGTAAAAGTGTCTGGGTGGGTCTCAATTAAGGACCAAGACTTAATGAGAAAAATGTTACTAAGAGAAAATGCTTTATTCTGTCCAAATGTTACCTCTTCTAGATTTCTCCGACTTGTGTTAGGAAATCAGATCGCAACTCTATAGACAGTTCTGCATTCACATCCACTTGTCAAGGTGAACCAACATGGCTCATTTGAGCTTCTTTTATGGAGGCCTTTAGGGATATTATTGTTTCTGCTTCAGTAACACAGCGATGAGTTGGCTTGAAAATGCAAGGCAAATAATGGACTTTCTTTTAAGGTAAAATTAAGACTGGAGCTAAGCAACCTTTTTATGTTAAGAGACTTGAAAGCAATTTCAGAGAAATCTCACTGGGGTTTCTTCTCAAAGAGATGAAAGCAGCATCCTACTGTCTATTTTTCACAAAGCTGTTTCCCCCCCTTTTCCTCCTTTGTTATTTTTGCTCTTCAGGGTAGATGAATAATTATGTTTTTGATAATGAAAACCTACAAAACCTGTGAGGAAAGGCTTTTAAAGGTTGGAGGGAAGAGTTATCAACAGAGTTTAGTGCTTGCTTGTTGTATCCTCTTCAATTATCTGAAGAGAAACTAACAAACAATTGTCTGTGGGTAGCCACAGAATCATCAAAAGCTGATAAACAAGTGTAAATGGCAAGACTAGTCAACACAGTTAACTAGCTTTAACTGGAGTTAACTGTGTTAACTGGAGTTAACTGTGTTAACTAGTTAACAGAGACAAGCTGCTGCTTCTGTCTAACCTACCTCTACCAAGCACCATTTGGGGAGGCTACCCTCAACAACGGAATGTATTTTAGTCTGAAAAAAATGCATTTACAACTCCTTAAACATGCATAATTGTGAAATGCAAACTCGGACCACGCACACTCATATCACCTGCAGAGATGGAGGGAAAGGCCAGGACCATAAAACGAGGAAGACAATTTCAACGCAACACTTGAATCCAGGCTAAGATCTTAGAAAGAAAAAAAAGAGCTGGAGGACACAAAATCTGCAGCCTCTACAACAATGAAACACCACCCCCCCAGCACTGTCTGAAGTAACTTCTGCTAGTGATCAAATCAAATCTTGTTCAGCTGTGATCGCTTCTTTCATGAGAAAAGATAAAGAAACAGGTGAAGACAGGACCATGAAGTGTGCAAGGGTGTAGGAGTGTGACAGCTGGAGGAGGTGGAAGAGGAGGAGTAAATGTGAGTAAGATAGAGAATTCAACACAGCAAGGCTCATTTATTATCACAGCTGGACTACATAAGAAATCTCTGTTACTGGACTTACTGGGAAGTGAGGCTGCTTAAAATTCCATGCTTGCACACTGTCCCGAAGGGTTCAACCAGAGGCTCAGTATCTACATCAGGGGTACACAACCTTGACTCTTTTATGACTCGTGGACTTCAACTCCCAGAATTCCTGAGCCAGCCATGCTGGCTCAGGAATTCTGGGAGTTGAAGTCCACGAGTCATAAAAGAGCCAAGGTTGCCTACCCCTGATCTACATAAACTTTGGGGTACTTGATGTAAGCCAAACTGCCTACCCTCTTCTCAGTGTGTATTCACACATACTCACACCCACTTCAGCACTCAACATTCCTTCATGCCACCCAAGGACATGCACAGCTACAACTTGGAAAAGGATTGTAATACAGGTGTTCAAATACTTGCAAGCATACATGCTCACAACAGGGTGAGTGTATCCAAATGAGGGGAACTGGAAAAATGACCTTCCTAAAAAAGAATTTAATTGGCCTTATCAGGATTAAAAAGCCTGACATTCACTAACCAAGAAAATGACAATATTTTTTCCCAGATGTTTCCCACTGGCTAATTTTTGAAAAACAATGTCTAATTTAGTTGAAAAAAAAGAAAATGATTTTAGCAGGCTGAATAGAATTATCATTATCTTTTTCATCGTTAGCTGAAGCACATGCTTTAATGGATAATGCAATTTTGTATTTATTCCTAATGTCTTTCTTCTCCTATGTTGTGAAGATAAAGGATTTGTATTGCAGAATGTAGGAGGAGAACAGTGAGTTCTAGTTAGATACAGATTTCCCACACCCAGGACACAGAGCAATATAATAACGAAGCTACTGAGATACCTATCTCACCATACCTTTTATCATGGGAAACATTTCTTGCAGTTGCTGTAACTAGCCTGCTGATTTCATTTTTCCACAACTAATTACTTTATTCTTTTAATTGATGTTCTCAGCAATCTCTGTCCCAGAACTCCTTGCCTTTCCATCGGTATGTCTAGATGACTGAAAAGCCCTTTATTCTGCAGCACTAGCTAACACATCAACCACATTAGAAGCCAATACAGACATGTTTGAAAGCTTTCCTAACCAGTAAAGCCTAAGTCCAGTAAAGGTGATCATACATTAACTCAGTGCATGGATGTTCAATCTTTCAGGGGAACCTGTCCAAGATTTTGGAAACCTATCTAGAAATGACTTTTGTGGAACTATATTTGTAATTAGCGATACATTAGCTGTCCCTCTTCAATACGGTCCTAGATTTAAATGTCTAGTCACAGGAGAGTGGATTGTTCCCGATTTCTGACCTGTTAGGCAAATTCTGGTGATCTACTGCAATGAAGACTCACAAATGATTGGCAGATTGCTTGACAAGCATTTGGACAGGACATATACTGCAGGATATTGCTGGGCACCATAGCCAGAGCGATGAAGGAGGCATCTTTTGAGCGTGGTTAGGAACTGAAATGTGTCACTGATCATTAATTTATTTTTAAATTTAATATTAACAAAAGATTCTCTGGAACCTACAGTGCAGAGTACTTCCCCCCACCCCTTTTGCTCGGCTATAGCTTTGATCTCTGTTAAGCTGGGAAGAAAGAGATAATCTCCACAGCCACATGAAGAGAATGGACCCACCCAGGCAAGTGTACCTACATTCACACATACACGCACTCGCACATTCTGCCATAGTTAGTTACATTCAACTGTGTTTCCTGATCATCTTGTTCAGTTGTTCCTCTCCATTCAGTTTTGACTGCTACCTCCCAGCCTACAGCCTGCATCCTGGCCAAACAGTGCCCCTTGGTGACATCTACCAAATATAGCCTCCATCATCTGCTTCTCCTTCTTCTTCTTCAGCTTCCTCGCCGGCTTCCTCTGTCTCCTTCTCTTCCTCATCTTCCCATCCGACACCACTCCCAAAGTCCCCTGAGAATCCAACAATGTCATCTATAGAAACAAGAGCAAGAGAAATGAAGTAGGGGGGGGGGACATTTCCTAATCCTTCAATAGTGGGGAATATATGTAGCTTAAGGAAGATTTGCTGGGTTTCTTGCAGAAACATCTGCAAGAAGAAACTCAACTTCAGGAAGAACCAACAACCCTTCACCTAATGCAGGGGTAGTCAACCTTGGCTCTTTTATGACTCGTGGACTTCAACTCCCAGAATTCCTGAGCCAGCATGGCTTAGCTTGGAAACCTCTCCCTTTCCCCTCAGCATGGCTGGCTCAGGAATTCTGGGAGTTGAAGTCCACAAGTCATAAAAGAGCCAAAGTTGACTACCCCTGACTAATTCTAGGTTTGGCAAGAAAGAGATTTTACATTCTTTGGTATTAGTTTGAAAGATTGCAGCAGCTGCTTTAAAATGCAAATTCTTTCAAAAATTGAACCACGGAGAGCTCTTCTGTTATTTCAAAATCCATCGGATATTAATATGGGATAATGGCAATAACGTCGCCCTTGCCCCAAGCCAAGTGTGCAGAAAAATTCGAATAAAATCAAACCTTTAATTCAGTCATTAACCATCACAGGTAGAATTCTTTTAAGTATGAATCCCAAGATGCTGAAGAGTGGCCCTATTTATACCTGTTATTTTCTCATCTTGCCTAATATCCCTATTCAAAACTTCCAGGGGAGATAAGGGGCATCCTTGCCTTGTGCCTTTTTTAATTTTACATGGTTTAGTTAAGTCCCCATTAATAATCATTGCTTGCAGGGAAGTGTAAATCGCTTTAACCTACACTTAGATGAATTGGAGAAGATACTCGAAGTCTCCATAGTACCTTCTGCAAAGGAACGGTATATTACTAACAGTAAGCAAGACACAAAATGCAGAGTAGCAAAAAATATCTTAATTTGCCAGATCCTCCTATTTACATTTAAAAGGGAACAGAGAATCAGAGGTACTCCCAAGTCTGGAAATGCTACATGCTTCCCCTAAAGGGGAAGGAAATCCACCCTTTCCCAGCTCCTGCCATAGAGTCATGCATTTCTTCATACAGAAGAAAACAAGGAGCAGTCATTAAACTTCTCCTTTTTTCCTCCCACAAGGGGGAAAATACTGTCTATGTATCTACCTTAGTCTACATACGTCTAAGTGGGGAGCCCATGTTCATCCTGCACCCAATGATCTCCTTATCCCACTGTGGAATACCTACTGAAGCACAACTCTCTCATAAATCCTCAAGTGCAAGGCTTTTCAACCTTTTCACCCAGTGTACCACTTTTAGGATATGGCAACATCCGAGTACCACCAGTCGCCTAGCAAGGTGTCAGAAACTTGATGACCAAAAAAAAAAAGGAAACAAGTGATAAAGTACAGGTAGTCCTTGACTTACAACAGTTCGTTTAATGACTGTTCGAAGTTACAATGGCACTGAAAAAAGTGCCCCCCAAGCCACAGCCGAGCAAGACACCTGCCTGCCCACCCGGTGGCGTTCTTCCTCCTGTCTGAGGTTTTCATTGTTGTGAGCATTTCTGTTGACGATTGGCAGCGGGAGTGGGGTGGGGGGGTGTTTGGTTTTTATTCCCCCCATCTGATGGGTGGTTGCAGCAGGTTTTGGTCACTTCACATGATCCTGGGACACTGTGACCGTCATAAATATGAATCAGTTGCCAAGCATCTGAATGTGAATCACAAGAGCCTGGAGATGCTGCAACATTCCAGCTTGGTGCTGATTGGTGCTTCTTCAGGCTCAGGAGAAGCACCAGGATCAGTGCCGAGCTCCAGCTGGATCCTGGCGCTGATCCTGGCACTTCCACTGAGCTCTGACAGCCCCGAAGAAGCGCCGATCAGCTGGAAAGCGGCACTGATCCTGGTGCTTCCGCTGAGCCCTGACAGCCCTGCAGCTCCAGCCATCTCTCACTCAGGCTTGTGCGGTGCTGCTACCGGTTCAGCTCATTCCCCTCCCCCACTAGCACTTTTCTAGGATGGTCGCGTACCACCTGCCAGGTGCCAATGTACCACAGGTGGTACCCGTACCACTGGTTGAAAAGCCCTGCTCAAGTGGGATGCCCAAAAAACTTGGATGGGTTCATTATGGACATCCTTCAGGTAAGATGTGGGACGGAGCAGTTCTGGGATGCTTGCAAAATGACTGCTACCTGGAGGGCGGTTGGGACTGCTGAAGGAACTTGAACCAAATGGATCACACAGATTAGAAATGCAGTCAGATAGAATTAGTCTTCCTTGTGTGATGACATTTAGGTATCCCAAAAAAAGCACCTTTCAAGCACAAATTCGGCTGATTTGATAAAGTACTGATAGTCCCTTGACTTACGGCCACAATCGAGCCCAAAATTTCTGTTGTTAAGTGAGACACTTGTTAAGTGAGTTTTCCCCTGTTTTACAACCTTTCTTGCCACTGTTGTTAAGTGAATCACTGCAATTGTTAAGTTAGCAACCCGGTTGTTAAGCGAACATGGCTCCCCCATTGACTTTGCTGGTCAGAAAGTCGTAAAAGAGGATCACATGACTTCGGGATACAGCAGCCGTCATAAATATGAGCCAGGTGCCAAGCATCCGAATTTTGAACACAGGACCATGGGGATGCTGCAAAGGTCGTAACTGTGAAAAACGGTCATAACGGTCACGTTTTTCAGTGCCGTTGTAACTTTGAACTAAACGAACTGTTGTAAGTCGAGGACTACCTGTAAATAAGCAAGTCAGTAAAGAAATTTTAAGAGAAATGAGACAAAGATTTGCTTGACTGTGCCTTTTGTGGGATGACATCAAGATGCACATCCACAGGCTGACAGCACTTTGCCTTGGTGCTGGGGCTAGCAGGGAGCTCCCCATGAACCCCAAAAAGTGCAGATTACAGGGTGAAGTCACACAACCCCATGGAAGAAGGCAACAGCAAACAATTGGCACTATTGCCAAGAAAACCTTGTAGTTGTGTCAATGTACAGGTAGCCCTGGACTTAACGACCACAATTGGGCCCAAAATTTCTATGGCTAAGCCAGACAGTTAAGTGAGTTTTGCCCCATTTTATAACCTTTCTTGCTGCAGTCGTTAATTTGAATCACTGCAGTTGTTAAATGCATCGTACGGCCATTAAATGAATCTGGCTTCCCCACTGACTTTGCTGGTCAGAAGGTTGCAAAAGGTGATCACATGACCCCGGGATACTGCAACCATCATAAATACATCCCCGTTGCCAAGCATCCAAATTTTGATCATGTGACCATGGGGGCGCTGCAACGGTCGTTAAGTATGGAAATCAGCTGTAAGTCACTTTTTTCAGTGATGTCGTAACTTCGAATCATCATTAAATGAGTGGTTGTGAGTTGAGGACTGCCTGTAATGACCAAGAGTTTGAGGTGAAGATGGTTCTTTTGCTACTTCACATGTAATGTCTACTCCCAAAGCTTCCTCTTGCCCCAAATCTTCTCCCCCTCCCCTTTTCTTACCACAGTCTGGATTCCCATGCATCCGTGTTCCTGTCAGCTCCGTGCCGAGATGATCAACGCACCAGCATTCTCCACTGCTGGAGTCACACTGCATCTTCCGGTAGTATCCATCCTCATCACAGCTCGGGATGAAGACTCCTGGGGGGAAGAAAAACGGCCTCCTTGTGCTAAGTAAAACAGGCACTGAGGACTTAGCACACCTCCGCCGCTCCTGGATTGTCTGAATGCAGCTCCAGACCTCTGTGTTCTCATTCGGAAATTGTGCAGATATATTTCCAGACTAACGTTGGGGGGGGGGGACAGGGGCATTTACTTGCCTATCCTGATAAAGCTCTGCAAAAGCTGCAAAATATCAGTTTTGTGACTGGCAGGAAATCTTGCCCTGCCCCGGGTTACATCTGACTCGCCATGCTTTTCAGGGGTCCTTAAAGGAGAAAGAGACCTTTACGGCTTGACAGTTCCCCCTCCCTCCAAGTCACAGCGCTGCCTTTTTTGCACCCAACCAGACAAATGCACATGGCTAGTGCATGTTCTGTTTTAAACCAAGCCCAGGGTCGACTGGAAGAGCTTATAAGGCTGGCAGATCCCCGCAATTCTTTCCCATAGCAAAGGCTTGACATTGTCAAGAATGGTGCCCTTTCCTTTCCTTTTCAACAGGAAGGGTGAGGACATGCAAAGCTTGGCTGGCTTTGTTCTCCTCTGGGTTATTAGGGAGGAGAGTGGCTGCCTGCCACTCTTCCCTTTCTGTGTGCCTTGGAGAGTGAAATGAGTTTTGTTGCTTCTCCCCATAACTCTTCCCTTCTTCTTCCCCACAGCCCCTCATTGCCCATTGTGGTGCACTGTTGTTCCTGTCTCTCCCCCCCTTTCTCCACACCAGCCCTGGTAGCTGCCGCCATTAGAGCAACCGGGAAAAGCCTCCGGCTGCCAAATTGCAGGCTCACTCACTCGCTCTCCTTTTATCATCCTTGCCAGCCAGAAGCTTTTATTATTGCAATTATAGCCTGCCTTTCATCTGGGAGTGCAAGGTAGTCTACACGATGGTCTCTGCTCATTTTATTCCCCCAGCAACAGCTCTGTCAGGGAGATTGGACTGAACTGCAATGCAGGAAATCCCAGTTTCAAGTTCAGCGCCCCTAACTATTACACCAAAGGGATGACCTTGACCCTGTTGTGCTTTTTATGAACGTGCCTTTCCTAGCAGCCCCTGGAACCGGGCGAGTGCGATCTATCCTCTGGCAGAGGCGTTCTGCCTTACGCCTGTCAGTGAGTTTAGCTTGTCCTTCTCGGATGCATTCAATTCTCTCCGTCGTCGTCTCATCTGCTTATTTTGCTGTTTTTCATCCTAAAGCGTGAGCCGCTTAGAACCGCTTCTTGCGATGGAGGGGGCATATGGGCAGGATGCAATGAGGAAATACACAGTGTGGGGCAGGGTTTTTTTTTTTTGCAAATGATAAGAGAAATACATAAAGAGTGTGTGCTTAAAAGGTAAATTTGCAAATGGGTTTACTCATGTTACGGGACAGACAGTGTGATTTGTCACAAATAAAGGCAAATATATGTGTCCCAGGACATTGCGGGATCCAATCTGGGTCAATCCCTGGGTTCAGAGTTTTAGTTTTCTGAGTTTTCGGATTTGTGCTAGAGCTCATTCTTAGGGAACCTCTCTCTATTGGGATGTGCGCTTTGGGCTATTCTGTGCATTGTATTTATGTGGTGTCTGGTGAAGCTATACTGAATCAGACGCCACGTAAATACTACACATAGAATAGCCCAAAGCACACGTTCCAGTAGAGAGAAGTTCCAGCACGAATCCAAAAACTCGGAAAACTAAAGCTCTGAACCCAGTGACTGACCCAGATTGGATCCAGCAATGTGATTTTTCTTACTCTTAGGACTTGAAATAGCTGGGTCTGGGTCCCTATGCGAGGGATTCTTTTGCACTCTCTGAGGGAGAATTCCAGCTGGATTATGGTTTGATATCCTTCAGCTCAACTTTGTGTTTCCAGATAGACAAAAGTGCACACAATCTTTGGTCACCTTAAAATAGAGAAAGTGGGGATGGAAAGACTGGCGCATGCAGGTTACTTGAGCTACAGCAACAATTATTTTTATTTTCAGGAAGGAGAACTGGGATCTCCCTGGGGATCTGATGTTTGTTGTACACTACCACTGAACTAGAGTCCATCTCCCCCCCCTAGAAATGTAAAGGAAAAAAAATACTTACACAAGAAAAAAAAAGCTCAATCATCAGAGCTAAATTAGCCACAATTACATCTCTATGTTTGTTGTGTGTTTTTTTTTGTTTTTTTTTAAAAAATGGCTATATTCTACAAGGTACTGTTTTTGAAAGCATGCACCACTTCAATGCATAATTATGTGATTTAGGTTCTAATTGTCAACAAGCAAATGAGGCATTACATTAGCAGGAGTAAAACCATTCCAAATCACTAAGTCTTTTTCTCACTCCGATGGCTTATTATGTGGAGTTTCTCCACCAGTCATCACCCACACAATGGATCAGGCCTGGGGGATCCATTACATCTGCCAGGCTCTTCTGATGAATGTCAGCATGCTCAGCACTGGAGTGTTCTCTAGTCACAGAAAATATGGCTTCACACAACTCTTAAACATCTTTAAATTCCAGGAACTCCATGTCGTACTTCCATAACGATTCTTGAACCGTTGGGGAATATGGAGGTATAATAATACGGTAAATAAATTTAAGCGCTGGTCATCACTTCTCAAGAAATGATGAGTTTATGGGCAGGGGTAAGATAAATGTTTTACTTAGTAGGAGATAACAACCACAACTTTGATTGCCAGATTTTTATACAACTACAGCACTGAAATTTGCAAGCATTAAACAAAACCATGAGCAAAGATCATTTAAAGTGAAGTACAGATACTACGGGAAACAGGCCTTTGTCAAAGTATCTTCTATCCTCTTGAAATCAAGCACACATTTGTTTGCCTCCAAAGCCTGAATTCACATAGACTGGAGACAGACAATGCATTGAAGGCAGCTTGAATTCATCAATTGCCACAGATGGATGCCCTCAGCTTATTTTTCTTGGCCTCTGGTGAAAGAGTTTGATAAGTTTGGCTATTATTTCATCAGAATTACCCAAACAGAATTGACAGAGACATACAACTGGGTCTGTAAGCTCAAGCAATGAAGCCTTTCCCAAACCATTTTGAGCTCTCTTAAAAATAGCTGCTCCATTCATGTGCATTTCTAAGCGAGTTTATTTAAAACTGGACAACCTGCAATAGACGGTTGAGATAAGCTTTTTGTGAAATGGTGCAGGGAATTGGAATATCTGTTGGTAGGACAGAGAGAAACCATGGCTCAGGGTCGAATTCCACATCAATGCTCCTATGCTTTGGGAAGAATTTGCTTTTAAGCTAAAAGTCGGAAGCAAAGCAGCTCATCCTGAAAAAGGTCACCATGGGTTATATAGTTCAACTTGCTTGGGAAAATCTTGAAAGAAAATGTGAAGGAAAGCCTTGGCTCTCAAGTGATCGTGAGTCTAGATATCCCCAGTTCAAATTCTGTATCTTGCACCATAGGTGAAGGAAGTAAACTAGTCTTGGAAGCAAAAGATGGGTTGTCTATCACCCATGGCTCTTCTTCTAACTCATGATCCCTGCTTCCAGCCTTAGTCTACAACAGGGGTCTTCAAACTTGGCCCTTTTATGACTTGTGGACTTCAACTCCCAGAATTCCTCAGCCAGTGTGCCTGGCTGAGGAATTCTGGGAGTTGAAGTCCACAAGTCATAAAAGGGCCAAGTTTGAAGACCCCTGGTCTACAATATAATGATAGGGCTGGACGGTGGTATCCCTGGGGCTCAAAGGGAAGCAGAATGATTCAAACAATCTTCTGGTGTTCAGACATACATTCCACCTCACTGAGGTAATGTACATGAGATGAAGCTTCTGGTTTGAGGCTACTTTCATTATTCCCATAAAAACAGCATGAATAGACAAGACCCATGAGTGGTCATGAAGATTATTTTAAAAATTGAAAAGAAAATGTATGTGATATATCTGAATAATATACAGAAAGCCAGTTTGGTCTAGTTTGATTAAGGCACTGGGCTAGAAAGTGGAAGACTGTGAGTTCTAGTCCCACCTTAGCCATGAAAGCCAACTAGATGACCTTGGGCCCGCCACTTTCTCTCAGCCCAACCCACCTCACAGGGCTGTTGTTCTGGGGAAAATAGGAGGAGGAAGGTGTGTTGGATATGTTTGCTGCCTTGAGTTATAAAGTAGATAGAAATAATAAATGTGGGATAGCAAACAAATAACTGAAATAACCAAGGTTCTTAATATATAGCCAGGTTATATCATTCTCAGAAAATATGTTATATATTATTCCCATAAAAAGAGCAAGATTTATGATAATATTTTAAAAACTGAAAAATATATGTGATAAATCTGAATAATTTTATACACACACACACACACACACATTTAAATAATCCAAGATCCTTAATATAGACCCAAATTATATCACTAAGACATCTACTGCCTCTTAGAAATGTTATAATCAAACAAGATCTTTTACCATCTTCTACAGGTCTCTTCTACAGGTCTCTAAAACCATTTTCTTTTCTACTTTTACCTCAGCAACTCACCAGGTTTCTTTTTTGAAGCTTCCTGGATCTGAATCCTCTCCAGCTCCGTAAGACATGGAGGCTCTGTAACAGTCAAAGCAGAATTCATCAGTGCCAAATCAGCTCAACGTGATCTCCTGAGCATATTAAAGGAAGCAAGTTCTTTTCCCTCAATTCGCCCTCAATCTAGAGCATTCACCTGTTCTACCAGCTTACTGTAAAGATGACTGTAATAATAATAAATGCAAATAGAACTATGAATTTAGGAAAATGCATTATATAGCTTTTAGCAGTGGTGGGATTCAGCCAGTTTGCACCACTTTGGCAGAACTGGTAGCTAATTTTTTTGTTGCCCAGGCCCAGAACGGACCTCCGGAAGCAGCATCCACACAGAGAATCGGTTGTTCACATATTTGAATCCCACCACTGGCTTTTCAGTATTTTATTACTTTGTTTGAAACAGAGCCCAAGCTCTAATATACACATCAACCCACCAGGCCTTTGCTTTATTCCCTGGATAGCAAGAGTGGTGGTGCCATCAATGTACACCTAGATATATAGAACGTAGAATCATAGGGCTGGAAGGGACCTCAGAGGTCTTCTAGTACAACCCCCTGCTCACAGCAGGAGACCTTATACTATCCTGGTCAAATGGTTGTCCAGTTTATTTTATGAAAACCTCTAGTGATGGAGCACCCGCAACTCCAGCTGGCAAGATATTCCATTAATTGTTCTCGCTGTCAGAAAATTCCTCCTTACTTCTAGGATGGATCTCTCTTTAACAAGCCATCTGCTTAGTACATCAAGGTACACCTAGATCAGTAGTGGCGAATCTATGGCACGGGTGCCAGAGGCGGCACTCAGAGCCCTCTCTGTGGGCACGCACGCCGTCGCCCCAGTCCTAGGCCTTCAGCTGGGTTTTATAAAACCTTTTCGCTTTAGGCCTCCGCCGCCGTGTGCAAAAAAAAAAAAGGTTCAATCAATCAGTCAATTTCAACTTCTCGCGGGGAAAAAAGATCTTGCAAAGTTGGAATTGATTGACTGAACTTTTTAGTCCCACCCAGTCTGCCATTACCACCACAGCCACGCCCAGCCAATGGGCCATGCCCAGCCAAAGGGCCACACCCACCCGGTACCCGACGATGCATAAGTGGGTTTTGGGTTGCAGTTTGGGCACTCGGTCTCTAAAAGGTTCGCCATCACTGACCTAGATCATCAGAGTATCTATGTTTGTCTAAGCAGCTACTGTAATCTTTAGCCTTCCCTCTGTAATAACAAAGACTTAAGAGACCTAGCAGGAAAAAAAGAAAGAAGGTCTTGTGACGCACTCTCTCTCCAGAAGCAGAGACACCACTCTGCAGTGGAGACACGGCCATCCTTGTAGGTGTCGCAGGAATTGAAGAAAGGCCGGATGCAAATCTCATACTTGTCCAGGTTGATAGCTGCCAACTCTGCCTGGTCCAGGAAAAGGTCACTGTTGGTGTCCAACTTGGAAAACATCCAACCAATGGAGTCCTTGCAACTGGCCACCAGGTTTTTGTCCAGTGCTGCAATAAATGAAAATTCAAATAACCACAGAGGCAGAAACAGCAGTGGATATATTTGTCCTTCACAGAATTTTGAAGTCTATATCCCATGATTGCAGAAATGGGATGCAGATTTTCACATCCGGAAAATCCTAACTTTCATTAGTCCTTCTAAGATAGGGGTCTTCAAACTTGGCGCCTTTTATGACTTGTGGACTTCAACTCCCAGAATCCCTCAGCCAGGCATGCCTGGCTGAGGAATTCTGGGAATTGAAGTCCACAAGTCATAAAAGGGGCCAAGTTTGAAGACCCCTGTTCTAAGAGTTAACCTAAATGATTGATAGTTACAGAATAGGAGAATAACAGATTTGGAAGGGAGCTTGGAGGTATTCTTTCTAGTCCAATCCTCTGCTCAGGCAGGAGACAAGAGAGAGAGAGAGAGAGAGTGATGCAGAGAGAGAGAGAGAGAGACAGAGAAGCAGAGAGAGAGAGTTATCAATTCATAACAGGATCACGAGAGAAATCAGCATGTATGAGTCACTCAACCTTCATAGGAGTTTCAAATGTCCTTTACAAAGGAGGCATCTTCTCTTTGCAAGGACTTGTCCCAGCAGCTGCCGGGACTCAACACTGACTTGAAGGCACAACAAACACACACAGCTAAATTAAGAATGAGCATGACCAGTAGTTATAGAATGTAACGAGCAAATTGGAAAACAAGTAGTAAATTGGGATGTGTAATGTATGTACGTGTGCATGTGTGAGTGGAGAACACTGAGAAAGGGATTTTTCAGTAGTACACTGATGGGACCATTTTATTAGAAAGAAAAAATACATTGCAGTATTTAACTATAGGTCCTACTGCTATTTTTAAGGAGTATGCTATCTCTTTACAGTGGGATGGAGAAACTGAGGCCCTCCAAGTATTGCTGAACTACAATTTCCAACCATCACCCTTACAGGTGATAAAGAGAGAATTGAATAGTCAACCCTTGATGTACTTTCCAAAGTCAACTTTCTAAAGCCAAATTAAAAAAAAAAACACTAAAGAAAATGTCCTTTACTTAGGAAGTAGAATTCCTGCAAAACTGTAAACAGTGCTATTCTATTATCCAAATTACAAGAAGAAACTAATATCTATTCCACTAACATACTTCTTTGCATCAGTTACACAAGTCATAGGATTCAGCTTTTCTGAGTGCAGTGCTAATTTATCTAAAGGTTACACAGAGTATACATAATGAAAAGTATTGTCCCGGGGAAAGATTGACAGATGCTGCTAATGAGTGGCAAGGTTCAAACTTGAGACTTTAAAGGGAATTTTATGCAGTGTGAAATTTTGCACTGGAGACAGAAAGCACTCCAAAGAGAATATATTAATTAAGTATACATACTTAAGCCTGAGACCCACAACTGTGAGCCCGTAGGCCAAATTGACAATTGCCTGTCTTTCTCTGAAGCTGGAAGCGAAAGAAATACAATTTTTGGTAGCAGAAGAGCCATAGATTGCTGAAAAAGGTTGAGATCTAATGTTGACCTCCTACCATAACCATCACCTCCTAGCCTCTGTTCTAAATAGTGCTCTCCAGGAAAACATGCTGCAGAAAAGAGAGATCAAGGGGCATTGAAATTGGTCGACCATGCCTGCTCCTCCTCTCCTTATTTCTCTGTATGGATCCGTTTGCTCTCCATGTCCCAACCGTTGATGGCAAGTCATTATGGCTAATGCACCCATCTGCAAAAGTTCGCTGATAACACAGCCCCTTTACCAAAGCTGCAGGGGTCTCCATAAAAATGGGGCAGGACTCCAATCACACCATCACAATGATGATCATGATTTTTTTTTTGCCCCCACCCCTTTTGACTGCATTGGCAAGGATGGCAGAAGAGCATCTGCATGAAACCCAACCAGTAGATTTGATTTCATCCAGCTCACTCCCCAGGGAAGCCATTTCTATTCAGTGACATTTAAGCTAATGATCTTCTTCCTGAATGATGGCACTTCGTAGTCTGCAAATACCTTGGGATCAATCTGCTGACTCTGCTCAGGGACTGGAGATTTATTTATTTCTGTAACAAGTACACAAGAATGTATGCTGTCTGGTGCTCACCTAGCAACTGGCAGAATCGATAGCCCCCAACCAGGGAACAAAGTGGCTTGTTCTTTCAGTCCTATTTGGGCATGACTTGTAATCACAAGGATTCTCAAGAACAAGTCGCAGTTTTCATTCTTTTGCAGGGTCATTCTTCTGCAAGATTTTTCAGCTACCCAAAATAAGACATTCAACTCGCATTCGTGTGACTGATTCCGATGGATCCCAAGAACTGGGCCACAAGAGTTATTGAATGGGAGATCCATCAGCCCAGTCACCTCTCTCACCCCATCTATCCCACAGGACTGTGGATGGATATAATAAATGGAGATCCACCTTGAACCTTTGGAGAAAAGGTGATAAATGTAACTGATAAGTAATATAAGAATAAATAAAACGTACTTCCTGGAAGCTATGCAAGGGGCATAAAAAAGCAAATAAAAGTTTAATTGAATTTTTTTTCTCATACTTTGTGGAAGAAAACAGTGCCAAGCCACTGCAATTTTGCAGACAATAAAGCAACGGCGACCCCTTCTATGACAAGAATCCAGCTTAAGACAGACTTCACTTTCTGATCTGACAGCAAAGTTAATCAGTTTGTCCGGATGAGGAGTTGGCAATTTCCACTGGATCAAGGGGTGGGGGCACAGCTGAGTCTCCCAAAATTTGAAAAACAGAATAACAGAGTTGGAAGGGACCTTGGAGGTCTTCTAGTCCAAACCCCTGATCAAGCAGGAGATCTTATACCATTTCAGACAAGTAGCTGTCCAGTCTCATCTTAAAAACCTCCAGTGATGGAGAACCACAACTTCTGAAGGCAAGTCATTCCATGTTAGGAAATTTCTCCTTAGTTCTAAGTTGCTTCTCTCCTTGATTAGTTTCCATCTATTGTTTCTTGTCTTACCTTCTGGTGCTTTGGAAAATAGTTTTGACTCCCTCATCTTTGTGGCAGCCCTTCAGATATTGGAACACTGCTATCATGTCGCCCCTAGTCCTTCTTTTCACTATACTAGACATACCCAATTCCTGCAACCATTCTTCATATGTTTTATTCTCCAGCCCCCTAATCATTTTCGTTGCTCTTCTCTGCACTCAATACCTTTTCTATAATACCAATCTCAATACTGTTTTTTATAATATAATACCAATCTCAATACCTTTTTTATAATATGGTGACCAAAACTGGATGTAGTGTTCAAAGTGTGAATTTGAAACAAGTAGAGGAGAACATCTGGAGATGCAGTGATATTGCCAGCATTTTTCAACCTGTTCTGGGTCAGTTTTCTGGTGGGAAGTCATGGATGGGATAGGAAGGGGAAGGACTATTCCTTGGAAGGTACCCTGCGCTCATTCCTAAGGCTGCCCAGAAATCCAGACTCAACAACCAAGTTGTACCCCATACTTTTAGCCACTTGCTGTCAAATTCTGGCAGCAATCCAGAGGTGCTGGGAAAATACTAGTGGCCTGAGAGCTTCCCACTTCTGCTGTACATGCACCCAAGGGAAAAAAGTCGCATTCTGCATACCATTCACAGGATTGGGGCCCACATTTCCAGAGCTGTTCTGTTTGGCGTTCTCATGCAGCAGTTGGAACCAGTCCCGCAGCCGATCGCCCAGGTCTGCCAAGTCTTGTCCAGTGCAGGTTTCTGCAAATCAGTTGGCAGCATCTCAGGTGAGCATCCCGGATGGGAAGACAGCAAGCAGTTTAGTCCAAAGTTACTGTACGCAACTCCTTCTTAGGGTTTTCCCCACACACAATTATTCAAAACTTTGTTTTGTCCATGGCGATAATGAGAGCATGAGATTTCTTGTCTATACAACAAATTCTCAGCGTTAGAGTAGGAGGAGAAGAATACAGAGGAAAAATTCTCTAGAGCTGCAATGAAATTGAGCTAAGAGTCACAAGAAGTGAGTCACCTTCTTTAATCTGGTGACAGAAAATTGCAACAAAACGTAACTTTGCGGATCTCACGAGGAGGGGAAGGAGGGTCTACTAAAGCTGAATGTCTCTTAAATCTTAATCTATATAATTTATGTCATCTGTTCATTAGTGAATGATGCAAATTGATGCAAAAGATGTAAATTAGATCAGTGGTCCAGACTGTTCCAAAAATACTGGACCTTGATCATTATTTGGCAGCACTCTGAATCCAAAGCTAACATGATGTCTGTTGTATCTGAAATCTGCCAGGAAAAGATCCCTACAATCAAGATTTTATTATCACGCTAGGACTTCACTTATTTTTATTATGTACTGTATATATTTGTGTATAAGCCCATCTGTAGATAAGATGATCCTCGAATTTTTAACCAAAATATCATGAAAAATGCACCACCCGTCAATAAGTTGACCAACATTTTTCATTGCACTTTGGTTAAAAATGTGACATTTTGCTTATTTGAAGATGGGCTTATATGCAAATATATATGGGATATACAGGTAATTTTAAAAAGTATTACCGGTATGAGTTATATTCAGTTGCAAGAATTTTATATGCCCAGAAATGGAAAGAAGTGTTAATCCCCACCTTGGAGGAATGGATTGAAAAGATGATGGAACTGGTAGAGGTGTCCGCATTAATTAGGGACAAAAAGGTAAATAATTTTATGGTTATTTGGAATCCACTTATGAAATTTCTGTGTGAAAGAGGGGGGGGAAATGAAATTTTGACTTTGGGTTTTGACAATTAAGTGGGTTATTGTTATAGAAATGGCTAGTGGTTATTATTTGGCAAAACTAAAAATACTATAACTGTATTATGTATCTTACTGCACCGAAAAAACTCAGAAATCATTGCTTTTTGTTTCTTTTTTAAATGTCTTTTTCTTCCTTCCCTCACTTTATCTCCTCTATTTCCTTTCCTTTCATGTTTTTCCATTGTCTTTATTTCTATTTGTATTTTATATTGAGGGGGAAAATCCTTTAATTGTGTATGTATATCATATGCATATTGAATGTACATACAGGATTACTGTATATAATTGCAGGTAAGCTGAATCCTATTTTGGGGGTGTATTTTGGCCCCTAAAATTCTTAGCTTGCTCACAAATATTTATGGTAGGTTATGAGGATTTTGTGTTACAACCAACAAATTTTATTGTATGAAATTGAGGGGATCTCCTGATTCTTATTTCTTTATCTTTTATTGCTTGAATTACAATTGAACTCCAGATACTATAAACCTAAAACCACAAATGTAGTAGTTTAAATCCCTACTTTAAAAGCTTTCCTTCTGCTTATTAGTCAGTTTGCAACAAAATTATCTGGTAACTCATGCCCATATTGCCAGTTAAATAATGTTGATCTTATCCTCAAATTATCTGCTCTATATATTACTGGAAGACTGACTTCATCTATATTCAGATGGTGATATTGTCCAGGATACCAACCAATATATAGAGCAAAGAATGTCTTGTGGAGGCAGCAAAGATCAGCCATGGAATACAGTTCAATACTTAATTTGTGTTCTTATTTATTCTGTGTGTCTATAGAGCAGAGTTTCTCAATCTTGGCAGTTTTAAGACGTGTGGACTTAACTTCCAGAATCCCCATTCTGGCTGGGAGATTCTGGGAGTTGAGGTCCACACATTTTAAAGTTGCCAAGGTTGAGAAATACTGCTCTACAGAGCCATAATGTGGAGAACAGGAGAGGATACAATTATTCACATTCTTAGTAGACATTGCTTGTCTGACCTTGCTTGAGATCAGTGGCTGAAGTTGGACCATGTTCACTTGTGCATGGGCACTGACCCTCACACTTCACTGTCAACTGCTTGCTGGTCAGACAGGCCTGCTGTTCCAGTTTACACTGTAAAAGAGAAACAGAAAAGTCACATGAGCAAGAAGCACCAGGCCATCAAATAAGAATGACTTCAAGGTAGGGGACCTTGCTGATTCTCTTGTAAAGTCTGTCAGGATCACCTTAGTCTCAACTCACGTGATCCTCTAATGCCCAGACATGAATTCAACAGATTATAAACCCTGAGGTACTGTATCATATCTAAATTTTAGAACAAGATAAAGATTTAATGCCACAGCTAGAAATTCGTGCATAAGCATGTAACAGATTATTTTTAATCATCCTAGTTGCTAAATCTTTCTACTATAAAATACATTCATTGTGGGGATCAATAGGCTGACACAATATCAATGTACTGATGCACATAGAAATATAAATGTTTATAGTTGATAATTTACCTATACCATTAATTCAATAGATCTTACAAATAGTCCTACTAAAATATGTCTGTCTCTGGATTCATTTTTAGAACACAAAGAGACTTCTCTTCAACAAGACTAGCTCATTTCTGCTGCAGGAAACCGACTACACTACATCATCATCTTCGGCTTAAAAACTTTCGTGAAAAACAGCCCGCCATCTTTTGAAGCAGATTGCTCCATTAATGGCCGGCTCATATTCTTCCTGAGACTATTGTATTGTTTCTTTGCAGTCGGGATGTCTACATTGTTTGCTGTCATCATTGTACACCATACTGTGTAATCTATTTCTGTAACAAGATCAAGGCATAGCCAGCGGTGGGATTCAAATACCTGAACAACCGGTTCTCTGCGTGGATGCAGGCCTAGGCCTCTGAGGCCTAGAACAGACTTCCGGAAGCAGTGTGCATTCAGCCGGTTCTCCGAACTCAACACAATTTAGCTACCGGTTCTCCCGAACCGGTCCAAACCAGCTGAATCCTATCACTGGGCATAGCCTTTGCAGTCCATCTCAGAAATATGCCAATAGAAGAGAATCTTTGTAGCTCAGGATTGAACTGTGAGATTTTTGGAGCTCTTTTACTTGGTTGTTTTCCTGTAGACGTTTCATTACCCAACTAGATAACATCATCAGTGCTAAGAAATATACTCCTTCATGATTTCTGTAATTTAGTTTGCCCTTCATTTCTTTGGGAATGTAAGCATACCTCTTGGATCCAAGCTCCTGTATGGGTTTTGAATCAGGCACTGGTGGACTACTCAATATTGTCTAGAAGTCTTTATGAATAGTGACAAAGTTTTTGTATATTCTATTTATGATATATTATTGGCTACAGTGGCCGAGCACAATATAATAATAAAAATAATTAGTATGCAAAATCTTAAGATTTCCTCCAAATTTATTGCTCACTCTGACCACATACCCATTGTGCTTTGTATTTTTTTTTCCTTTGGGTAATAATTGCATTTATCAGGTCTTTCAAAAAAACCTTTTCTTCCCTCCGGCTTTGGGCTACAGTGAGTGGAAACTCCTTGACAGGAAATTGCAAGTTAGTTGGAATAGCTTTTGCTGTTTGAACATATATCATTTTTTTTCTTTATAAACTGTTCCTTGCTATATATTATAACAGCGAATAATATTTATATATTATTTATATGTTACTTATATGTAAGGGTGTAGGTCTATACATATGTTGTATATAGTATGTTTTAAATGTGTGTTATGTATGTGTACACTTTGAGAGGAAGCAACTAAATTTCATTTTTAATGTATGCCATTGTGCCCACAGGAAAAATGATAATAAAGGTTATCTGTCTGTCTGTCTGTCTGTCTGTCTGTCTGTCTGTCTGTCTGTCTGTCTGTCTGTCTGTCTGTCTATCTATCTATCTATCTATCTATCTATCTATCTTGTACACCAGAGCCTTCATGGAGTTGTTAGCTTCATTAAATTGACAAATAAACAAATAAATGAACAAACATATTTTGAAAAATCATCTACAAATGCCAGGAAAAAAAATCCTTCTAGTTACCGTTATAGGAAAGAGACCTCTTGTCTGTCTTTTTGTATAAGGTGAATAAGCATCCCTGCTTGCATTTGCTTTAATACAACTGATACACCCGAATTCATTGTAAAACTTTCTTTCATCAATTCTGAAATATATTCAATATTTCTGTGGCAGTGTCAGCAATGCCACAGACCCATATAGTCCTTGACAGAGGTGGGGGGGGGGGAAGAGAGAGAGAGAAATCTCAAAACAATTCTTGGTTCTTTGTTTTGAAAATGAAGCAATGTTCTGAAACAAATGCCTTGTGGCTCTCTTTATATTCATAATATGATTTCCCACAAGTTTAACCAAATAGTTCCTTCACCCTACATCTGAATGTGATTGATCACCTTTGGCAAGATCATTTGGAACTTTACAACTCACCACTACATCTGAAAAAGTCTAGATTGTTAAAGAAATGGGAAGAGGTCCAAGTACCCACAAAGATCTTTATAAATCAATCCTCAACTGATTCTGTATTTCTTGTGACTTTCTTTTGTTCTGTGTCAGCATTATTACTATTCTTATACATATTTATCCATTGTCCAAACTTAAACTCAAGGTTGTTTACCAACACAAAGCATGAACATTCCTAAAACATACATCTGAGGCTTTACTGTCCAGCAATATATCAGAAGAGTAACACAGTTGTCCTCCTTCAATGTTTTTGACAATATGGAACGTTCTTCACTCAGACTTTATAAATTCCAGGGGCAGATTTTACGGGAAGGATTTAGTAGCAGGCTGCCTTTTTGATCCTGTTACGGCTTTATTATTTAAATTTCAAGCCACGAGGAACTCAAAGCAAGGAATAATGAATCTTCTTAAAAGTTAATCTTCCCAAATGAAATGTCTTGCTGTGTCCCCTATTTGGAACGAATCGCACTAAGGCTTCCCAACGTTCGTAGATGCATAATTACAAACCGAACTGCTCCTTTCCTGCAAGCTGTAAACACATCTGCCAGTCGTTGGTTGACCTGAGCACAAGCATTTCAATAAGTTATGATGCCCTGAGGGTGGGTGTCAGACCTAGAAAATGACAAGTAAGTTACACTGAATGAGATGGTAGATGTGTTCCACAGGACAAAACACTGCTTATATGGGATGAATGGGAAGAGGGACGTCTGTTGGCAGCAGGTATATTTATTTATGTATTTATGTATTTATTATTTATTTATTTATATCTCTACATAAATATTTATTTATTTTCTATATAATTCTAGGTGGCGTACATACCTGGTCCTCGACGTATGACCAAAATTGAGCCCAAAATTTCTGTTGCTAAGTGAGACAGTTGTTAAGTGAATTTTGCCTCATTTTGCGCTCTTTCTTGCCACCGTTCTTAAGTGAATCACTGTAGTTGATAAGTTAGTAACCCGATTGTTAAGTGAATCCGGCTTCCCCCGTTGACTTTGCTTGTCAGAAGGTCACCAAAGAGGATCCCTTGACCCCGGGACCCAGCAATCACCCAGTTGGCTTTCACGCCTAAGGCAGGACTAGAACTCACAGTCATCCCGTTTCTAGCCTGGTAGCTTAACCACCAGACCAAAAAGTTTCTGACATATGGCCAAGCAGTATACAGACCTTGTCTGCCTGAAATGCTTGTGTACTAAGGTGTTTTTAACTCAGGAAAAAAAAGAACAAGAAAGAGACATTATACAAATAATATTATAGTGTGAAGGAAGCAGGTATCTGCTCTATCTTGAAACATATATGAGCTGGTGAGCATGAAAGTATTATGATCCTTTGTCTGGTTGAAAACAATCTTCAGCCCCATAAAAAGTAATCCAATGGTTGCTTTGGTCAATAGCTGATTATAATGAGCTTTAATTAGACTGGCATGGCCCAGCTTGATATACTGTAGGAGTTAAACGTATCTGGGTCTTTGCTTGTAGTAGAAAGAATACACTAATTTAAGTTGTCCATCAGGGGAAGATAATTCTTCACAAGAGACTCCATATTGATAGCAGGAGTTAAAAGCTTATCCCCTCACTCCCTTAGCCAGAAGGAAAAAAAAATAGGCCAGCACATCACAGTGGGGTTATCCAAATAAGCTTTGATTCGGGAAGTCCCATTATAATATAAGGCGGATTGTCCTGAATATAATGTAAGGCATGCAAAAAACTTTTTTTTCAGCATTCTAAGTATACTCCTGCGTCATTATTCAAGATATCTGCTTTGCCCAAAAATTTCTGGGCTATTGCTACCGTGTTTTCCCCAAAATAAGCCCTACCCTCAAAATAAGCCCCAGTTAAGATCCTCAGCCAGATGGACACATTTAGTACCGTATTTCCCCGAAAATAAGACCTAACCGGAAAATAAGCCCTAATGTGTCTTTTGGAGCAAAAATTAATATATGACCTGGTCTTATTTTTTGGGAAACACGGTATCCATCTACTTGAAAAGAATTAGCTTTACCTATGATGTATTCCAGTTAAACAAATCTATTTTTAATTGTTGCTATCACCCCCCAAGGGATGATGTTTGTCATCTTGATGCCAACATATGAACACAAACTCCTTTTTTTTCTAATCAAGATCACTGATGTTCATTGGCAATTTTCTCCTAGAAAATTGAAGACATCTACAGGAACTTATATCCTCTCCCGCACTTTATATATTATTACATATGTATAATTCTTTACACTGCTTATCTCTTGACAAAAGAACCATAGTTGTTATTATAAGCAAAAATACAATAGGTGTTATGTGGTTAACTTTAATATTATTGCATAACACCAGTTCTGGTATCTCTGCTAATATAAAAGTAATCATTTATTTAGCAGTGATAAAGTGACAAGTGCTTCACGTTTTTGGATGTCAAAAAGTCCTCCCAAGTTCTAGAGCGCAGAAGAAAATTTCAAATATCAATTCTCTTGAGCTTCCTTTCTCATCAAACAGGACTTAACAAGCGATAGAACCAAGCTTTCCACATGACCAAGAGCTTGTGACAGACAGATCAAGTTGATTTATTACATTTATATATCACTTTTCCTCCTGGGATCACATTTTTACTCTTAAAGCAACTTTGCGAGGATGCTGGCCCAGGAGAAAACATTTGATCCAATTTCAGACATGAGCAATCGGTACAGCAACTGCCACAGGAAACTGCAAATTCAATGGGCCACTCTACACCACTCTAAATTGAAAGGTTGTGGTAATTTGTTATCAGGATGTCAATGCTCCCGTTCTCTCATTTCTGTGCCTTCAAAATGCAGCTGAGCCTGCAGAAATTAAACAGATTAAGCTTTTCTTTAATATTCTACAGCTGCTAAGAATTAAGATTCGCTAGAGTTTTGATTCCCCTCATCAAAACCCATACATCTAGTAGTGGATATGTAAAAACAGCCTGCTGAAAGAAGCAATTTGAACATTACTTCAGGGTAACTTCAGGGTGGTTGCAAAGGGAATGAGACAATGCAATTAGTGCATGGTCAGGCAATCTGGAGCCTCCAGGTATTTTGAATAACAATTTCCCAAATTCCTCTAACACAGGGGTGTCAAGCTGCCAGCCTGCGTGCCGGATGCATCGTCTGGAAACCGCGCCCACCCCATTGCTGGCAATGGCAAAACCATCCCGATACGTTGTGCGACGTCACATGACGTCGCGAGTTTGACATGTCTGCTCTAACATGTTAGTCAAGAGTGGTTGGAATTGAAATCTAAACACCTTGAGAATAGTGAGGTTTTTTTCCCTCCCTTTGGGCCTCTTCTCCAGCCAAATGTATCTCACAGAGATTGTTGTGAGGGTAAAAGAGATAGGCAAAGAAATGGACAGAAGCAATAAGAGTAACACATGACTCTGTTAAAAACGGAATGCTTTACCCATACAAAGTGTTTACATACTTAGTTCAAGAATGGAATTCTAACTGATAGGCCATTGCAACAGGCCCCTACAGGTAGTCCTCAACTTATATCCGTTCAAAGTTACAAGGGCATTGAAAAAAGTGACTTATGACCATTTTTCACACTTACAACCGTTGCAGCATCCCCATGGGCACATGATCAAAATTCAGGCGCTTGACAACTGGTTGATTTTTATGACGGTTGCAATGTCCCGGGATCACATGATGCCCTTTTGCAGCCTTCTGACAAGCAAAGTCAATAGGGAAGCCAGATTCACTTAACCACCGGGTTACTAGCTTAACAGATGCAATGATTCACTTAACAATTGTGGCAAGAAAATTCGTAAAATGGGGCAAAACTCACTTGGCAAGTGTTTCACTTAGCAACATACACTTTGGGTTCAATTGTCCTCGTAATTTGAGGACTACCTGTACATGCAAAAGTTCAGATCCTCTCACTGATCCCAAGAAAAACCTCCAAACTGTTATAAAGTAGGCTGATTCTCTGCAAACCCAAAGCTCTCTCTCTCTCTCTCTCTCTCTCTCTCTCTCTCTCTCTCTCTCTCTCTCTCTCTCTCTCTCTCTCTCTCTCTCTCTCTCTCTCTCTCTCTCTCTCTCCTCCCCATCCCTGCTTATTTTCAGTGCCGAATATGGTTTTCTTCCTTACCACAGAGCTGTAAGTATGGCCGTCAGAGCCACAGACGGAGGCAAGCTGGGTCATGTGACAGGGTTTGCACAAGTTCTCCTTGTTTCCATGGAGCTTCACGGCAGGCTGTTTGATTCTGTGCCGGTACACCAGACAGAGAGAAAAGAAAAAGAGCAACGCACATTAAAGCATGGCCAAGATCAACTTCTCTCCTTCTCGAGGGTTTGGGAAGGTGAGATTCCCCCCAATTCACAGTCTGGAGGAGGAAGCTCCAGAAAGGGCACAGAGGATCTTACTGATGACCTCCAAGGTCCCTTCCAACATCATCATCATCATCATCATCATCATCATCATCATCATCATCATCATCATCATCATCATCATCATCATTATTATTATTATTATTATTATTATTATTATTATTATTATTATTATGGATCATCGCACAGTCAGCCAGATGTTCAGACTGGATTTGGCATTTTGTCTACCTATCGAGTCCTTACCCAGGACCTGGGATAGGCAGATGTGGATGTTTGATGGTATTACAGATATCGTCGCAGGATGGAAGCAGTTCCTAGTAAGGACGCCTTTTGCAATTGACTAATGGCGAATTTGTCAATGCCAATGGTGGTATTATTATTATTATTATTATTATTATTATTATTATTATTATTATTATTATTATTACTGCAATGTTAACACCCTTGAAGAGAAGTCACCAAGGGCTGTCTTTTCCCAACCGGGTGCTCTCCAGACGTGTTGTGAGTACAGCTTCACAGATTCCCAAGCAGCATGAAAATGGGAATTATGGAGGCTGTAATCTCGACACCTCCAAAAGACATCAGGTTGACTAAAGTTGTCTCGTGGAACTGAAGAGAACAGACACATACCGAGGAAAGTCTTTCATAGCAGCAGTGAAAGGCAATATTTTATCTCTAAGCTTTCAACCACATGATTTAATCATGGTGGAAGAGACAAGGCTGTCTTTAAGGAGAAAGAAGAGGCAAGTGAACTTCGTTGAATGAGTCTGGAAGTCCATGTGAAGCAGCAGAAGGTGTCTCAACTTGCCATTCAATGCTTTACTAATCATTTCACTCAATTACTTTTATTATATTGGTGACCACGTTTTTGTTGAAATTATTGTAGCTCTTGTATTTCTGGATTGACTTTCTTTATTTTATTATTATTGGCCACGGTTCTGTCAAAATTAATTCAACTTTTGTATTTGCTGAATTGTCCCACGAGTTGTCCTGCTGGCGAGTTAGCCATGGCAAGTCGGCCTTGGTGAGTTGGCTGTGGAAAGTTGTCCCATTCTGTGTCTCAGCCATGGGTAAAAGTGTGCAGCACACAGCTTTCTCTGACTCCCCCCCCTTAACTTTAAAAAGCTATAAGATGAGAGGTTGGCATTCCTTTTATTTATGCAGGACAGAATGTGGCACTATTTGGTTTCCTTCAGCAGTAAAAGTATACATGCTCCCAGATTCCAAGGCAGGGAGAGCAACAGCAGTAGATGGCAAACATCATTAACACTTTTTATCAAACAGAAGGAATAACTTTGAATTTCTCCCAATCTTGGTTCCTCAGATGTTAGGCATCAAAAGAGGTCTAAAAAGTACAACTTCTTACCACCTCCTCTAAGTCATTCAGGGGGGAATGGGACCAAAAATATCAGTCCTCTGATTTGAAGTGGGAAGGGAGGGTTTAAGAGACATAAAATGTGGCACTTGAGATACTGTGCTAACTCTTGACTTGGCTAATACTGCATACAGCCTAACCCTAACCCTAAGGAACGATGAAATAGAAATCCAACATCATCTATAAACCCAGAATTCATTCATTCATCCATCCATCCATCCATCCATCACATTTCTACCTCACCCATCTTGCCCAAGTGACACTGAATTGGGACCAGTTCTCTTACTCTCCCTCTCTCTTTTCTATATATCTTTATTAAATTTCAAAATCAAACATTAAAATGCAAACATTAAAAAGGGAAAGAAAACAGTAAAACAAATTAAAAGTGGCCAAAATATATCAAATAAACTTATAACAAAAATGACCTGCCACTTTGTTTTAGTGTAGACATAATAGCAGGGCGACAACCTCTCACTAAGTTTGAACAAATAACAAAATCTTTTAAAAACCTTAAAATATTAATAATATTCTTCTCTTAATTTTTAAAGTTGTTAAGTGTAAATAACCTTATGTTTAAAAAGCTACAATATTTCTCTGGACAAATCCAATCTAATCCTCAAATCCCAAAGTCAAGAGTTGATTTTTTTTTCTCCTTGCCCTGACCAATGATTCTCAACCTTCTCGAATCCATGGCACAATATTTGATATAGTAGGAGTTCTGTGTTACACCAGAAAATTATTAATTGTATATATGCTTTTTTAATTGGGTAAGATATAGTTCAAGAGGAAGATATACATTTTCTAAAATATCTGCATTGTATTGAATATATGGATTATATAGAACATACATAATACAAAACAAAAATTTGAAAAAAATAACACAAGACAAAAATATCCTGGCATACAAGAAACAATCCCATGCCACACCTGTGCGCTGGAACACACAGGTTGAGAACTACTGGCCTAGACAAGGTGTCTACAACCTTGACAACTTTAAGACTTGTGGACTTCAGCTCCCAGAATTCCTATGCTGGCTGAGGAATTCTGGGAGCTGAAGTCCACAAGTCTTAAAGTTGTCAAGGTTGCAGACCCCTGGCCTAGACCAGGGGTCTTCAAACTCGGCCCTTTTATGACTCATGGACTTCAACTCCCAGAATTCCTCAGCCAGCATAGCTGAGGAATTCTGGGAGTTGAAGTCTATGAGTCATAAAAGGGCTGAATTTGAAGACCCCTGGCCTAAGACTATTATATGAAGGAACTGGCTATTTCTGCACTGAATATCAGTAGCTCCACCTTTTCTCGAGTGGCTGTGAATCCAACTGGCCTTAAAATGTCTGATTACAGGTAGTCCTCGATTTACTAACACATTGGAGTCCAAAATTTCTGATGCTAAGCAAGAATGTTGTTAAGTTGTTAAGTTTGCCCCATTTTATGACATTGCTTGCCACAGCTGTTAAGTGAATCACCGTGCTTGTTAGTAACACGGTTGTTAAGTGAATCTGGGTTCCCCGTTGACTTTGCTTGTCGGAAGGTCACAAAAGGGGATCACAGGACCCTGGGACACTGCAACCATCATAAATGTGAGTCAGTTGCCAAGCATCCAAATTTTGATCATGTGACCATGAGGATGCCGCAATGGTCGTAAGTGTGAAAAACAGTCAGTGCTGTTGTGACTTTGTATGGTCACTAAATGAATTGTTGTAAGTCGAGGACCTCCTGTATATCAAAAAATATCTGAATAATCAAATCACCCAGTCAGGGATTAATGTATAAATTAATGGATTCCTTACCTGTGCTCCAGTTTTTTGCGACTGATGCACATGGCCCTCTGGTAACCCTGGGCAATGCACACCTTATGCCGGCTGCATTTGATCTTCTGGCAAGGATCTTTTGTGGTGTCCAGACCTAAAGCAAGAGGCAAAGAGAACATGTGTCATCCTACACTAAGTTTAGGATCCAAAATATCACTTGTCCTAATGGAATAACAGAGTTAGAAGGGATCTTGGATGTCTTCTAGTCCAGGGGTAGGCAACCTCGGCTCTTTTATGATTCATGGACTTCAACTCCCAGAATTCCATGAGTCATAAAAGAGCCGAGGTTGCCTACCCCTGTTCTAGTCCAACCCCCTGCTCAAGCAGGAATCCCTGTATCAGTTCAGACAAATGGTTGTCCAATCTCTTCTTTAAAAACCCCAGTCTTGGAATATCCACGACTTCTGGAGGCAAGTCGTTCCACTGATTAATTGTTCTAACTGCAAGGAAATTTCTCCTTAGTTCTAGGTTGGTTCTCTCCTTGATTAGTTTCCATCCATTGCTTCTTGTCTTGCTTTCTGGTGCTTTGGAGAATAGGTTGACCTGCTTAATCTTTTCTGGAGCACCTTCACCTAGACCAGACATGTCAAACTCACAATGTCATGTGACGTCACATGACGTATCGGGACTGTTTTGCCATTGCCAGCAATGGGGTGGGCACTGCTTCCGCATGACGCGTCCAGCCCACAGGCCAGCAGTTTGACACCCCTAACCTAGACTGTCGTCTAACATACTGCAGGCAATCCTAGTTACATAGTCATCATCATCATCATTTTAGCCATTGTCTATCCATTGCAGGATGAAGGTCTCTTCCACATGTTAACAACCAACATGGTCCCGAGCTTCCTTGTGCCAATTGGGCCCTCAATACTTGCTGATGTTGTTGATCCGTCTTGTTTTAGGTCTCTCTCCTGGGCTCTTTTTATCAAGTGGGATCCATTCTATGACTGCCTTGGTCCACCTGCCATCGGTTCTTCTTGCTATATGACAGCCCATTTCCATTGCAATTTTTTACTCTCTTGATTATTTCGTATATACTTTAGTTTCTTCTCTAATCCATGTGCAGGTCTTTCTATCTTGTCTAGTGATGCCGAGCATGTATCTTTCCATGGCTCTTTGCGCCACTCATAGCTTTTGTATCAATGGTGAGGTTAATGTCCATGTTTCCCTGGCATATATTAAGAGCAAGTAGCACACACTGATCGAAAACTTTTCTCTTAAAGATTGAGGGGGAGGTTATTGAAAATTACGCTAGGCTTGCCGAATGCCTGGCAACCACATTTAACACGCCGTTCAATTTCCTTTAATATATCACTTTCCACTGAGATCCATTGGCCAAGGTATATCTAGTGGTCTGTTACATCTAGTGCTGTTTTATACAACAATCTCAGGAACTGGAAGTCACTTTATATTTGATTTAAAAATGGCCTGACTGTCAAATGTGTTTTCTTTTTCTAACACCCTGGCTGCCATTTAATATTCAAATGATGCACCCACATTTATTCATTCATGTGCTGAATTTATATCCTGCTCCTATTTCAATATCAGCTAAAATGCTATGGAGGAAATTGCATTTGTTCAGTGTAGGAGATGTCAAGGACTTGCATTCGCTAGCTGAGTGCACTTCTGAATATTTGGTTAATAGGTAAATAAGCGGATCCACATCCTTACATGGAGATGCTCACTCACAAATCCAAAGGTTTCTTGGTTTTGCACAGAGTAAATATCTGGAAACCACTGTTTCTCAAACTTGGCAACCTTAAGAAGTGTGGACTCCAATTCCCAGAATTCCCCAGCCAGCAAATTGCCCAAGTTTAAAAAACACTATTTTATATTGACATATTTCTTTGTGGTCAAGCATTTGCTGAGTCACAATATTGGAAAGTCATGAATTCTTATATGATTCCCACCAGAATTAATGTAAGGGGATCTGTTGCATTGTTTCCCATCTGCAATCATAACCCATTTGATAGTTCAGTTTTTTTTTTAAAAAAAGGAAACAGTAACTATGGATAAAAGCCAAACCATCTTGAGCATAGCCATGAACATCTCAATCTGGATCTGTGACTTTTAGGCTCAAAATTTAAGCAATCATAATGATTGAAGGCAAACGAGGTCCAGGCAGAAGAAGAACATTGTGGCTTCAAAATCTAAGGGACTGGTTTGGACAAAACTCAGCAGCACTTTTTCGTGCGGTTACTGATAAAAACAGGATCGCCAACATGATCGCCAACGTCCGATAACGGATAAGGCACAAGAAGAAGAAGAAGAATGATTCAGTCAAGAAATATAAGAAATTTGCTCTGATCCAGCAAGACTAATCTGTTTATCAGAAGTCTCCCAAAGGCAGGTAGCCACTGACTGAGGACATATCTGCCACAGCATGACAATGCTTATCCATAATATCATATTCTACTGACAGCACAAATCTCTTGAGGTGAACCAATACTTCTAATTTGCAGGTCTTCCAGTTAATTACCCACAATAATTGCTAGATTTGGATCACAAACAATACTCAGATCTAGCTTTAGACTTCCCAGTTTCATTGGCAAAATAAGAGAATTTGTCAGTTTGTAGCCAGCAAATGTTACAGGCACAGAAAGGCCGTCAGGCAGATGCTCTTGCAGAATTTTCTGAAGCTCAGGGGAAAAAAACCCTAACATCCCACAAAAATCAAGACATGTTTTAGATTGAACTGAATCTCATAAACTAAGAGAAATGAAAGGATTAGTGATTGAATGCTTCCTCTTCATTTTTGCCCTGGAAGTTCTTTAAAAAAAAAACACATACCAAGTCTGGCAATGCCAGTACTTGATGAACCTAGACATTCTCACAGCTTTGTACTGAGATAAATGCTTGGTCTGTCTAGTCTCTAAGATCTTCTACAGTAATTTTTCTTTACCCAATAGATTTCTGCATGGAATAGAGCTCCCATCCATGGTCAATCTGGTATCTAGGAATTTAGTTAGCTAGTCAACTAATGCTACTGGAGTTATACAATGTTGGACTTGATGGGCAGATTCTGATATTCCACCTTTATTGGGAACTTTCAAAACTGTTTAGAAACAATTAATTATTCTTCTGGATCTGCCATATAACTCAGAAACTATTAGAAGATGAAGCTGTCATCTGGAAGGCATCAGAAGCTAAAGAGCCATCTTTCTCCTTTTCTTCAGACATCTTAAAAATCAACCTTTTCAGAAAGATTTTTTTTTCTTTATACATTACCTATTAAAAATTATTGAAATGTTTGTACAGTCTTTCAACTTACAGGACCAAAAGAGTACCAGCCAGATACTAAATTTCAATGGTGCTGATCAATTTTATGAAAACTGCACCTGCCAACAGTTAGCCAGACCTGGTTATAATTTGTCTTGACTACTGCAGTGGATTTTATACGAGACTATCCCTGAAGAGCAGTCAGAAGATTCAACTGGTATAACAGTTAGCATCTTAGCTACTAAGGGATACCTAGCATTGTGACTACATCATTCCTAATACAGGTGGTCCTTGATTTACGACCACAATTGAGCCCAAAATTTCTTTTGCTAAGTGAGACAGTTGTTAAGTGAGTTTTACTCTATGTTACAATCTTTCTCGCCACATTTGTTAAGTGAACCACTGCAATCGTTAAGTTAGTAACAAGTTTGTTAAGTTAATCTGCCTTTCCCCATTGCCTTTCCTTGTCAGAAGATCACCAAAGGTAATCACATGACTCCAGGATATTGCAACCATCATAAATATATTGCTAAGTGTCTGACTTTGGATCACGTGACCATGGGGGTGCTATAAGTGTGAAAAACAGCCATAAGTCATTTTTTTAGTATCTTTTTAACTTTGAATGGTCACTAAATGAACTGTTGTAAGTCGAGGACAACCTGTATTTAAAATACATGTCTGTCCGTGGTTTTCCAAATTCAGCTCAAAGTTGTATTAAATTTAAGATACAAAGCTCTGAACAAATTTAAGCTGAACCATGTAAGGAATTGTTTGTCACGTTATAAACATGCCAAGTTATCAAAGGTAGTTTAGAAATAAGTGAAAGAGAAAATATAAACAAATGAATAAATATAGCTGTGTTCTCTGCACTTCTAAGCAGCTTATTTGACTGTAATGTATATGAACAGTAAAGCTACATATACATAAAGCCAATACTGTACAATGCAGTTACTTTATATTATTCATTTATATAGTATTTTATAGTATTCGTTTTTTAAAAATGAAATAATTCATTTTTAAATCAAAAACTGAACAGGAAAAATGGCCAAATGGGTACCCGTGGCATTGGGTCTCCCAAGAATGCTATCCTACAGACCAGTCGTATCTTTAAGGAAATCATCAATCAATCCATTCATTTTACATTATCTTCTTATGTACGGTTAGTGGCCACAGAAGAAGGGGCAAGCAAAGAACATGCTGGCTTAATAACATCAAACCCGATGCAATACAATTGAAAGAAGCTGTGCTTGACAGGGTAGCATGGAGAACACTGGCCTATAAAGTCACCAAGAGACGGACATGACTAAATGGTTAAAAGCAACATTTCATTTCTTCCATAAAATGTTCTCCCACCCTATTTTATTTGTTTTTTGTTTTTTTTACAATGTGGGCATTTACTCAAAACTCAGTTCTTTATTTCTGCTGAACAAACGTCTCATTTCCTACATTGTACACCCACTCAGAATTTTTGGATCAACTGATTGTGAAATCACACGATCCAAGCAATTACATGGCAGCAGGAAAGGAAGCCAAGTAAACTATAACCTGTATAAAAAATATAAAGTGCACAGATATAAAAATGGTTGGCTTCCATCATTCACATAAACCACAATCCCGTTCCCACAGCCACTAGCCTTGTCAAATCTCCATCAGTGGGCATTGTCCATGATCACAGTAAATATTTTCAGAATTCAAAGTACATGCATATGTCTTCGATAAGCAGAGCACCTAGTTAGGATCTTATGAGCTCCAGAACCAGAATAGAACTGGTGAAGTTACATTGCATCAGTAAACCTTTCTTGTTGGCTTGGTAGATAGCAACAGGTTGGTTCAGCCACCCTATTCAATCAGTGCTGAAGATGTCTTTTCTGTTTTGGTGGGCCTTGAGATACTTTTGTAATGGAGAAACTTGTTTTTTCCCAGGACTAGGATTTTGGAGAATGTCCAACACGATTAGTTTAACCCAGTGGTGGCGAACCTATGGCACGGGTGCCAGAGGCGGCACTCAGAGCCCTCTCTGTGGGCACACGCACCGTCGCCCCAGTCCTAGGCCTTCAGCTGGGTTTTATAAAACCTTTTCGCTTTAGGCCTCCGCTGCCATGTACAAAAAAAAAAGGTTCAATCAATCAGTCAATTTCAACCTCGCGGGAAAAAAAAAGATCTTGCAAAGTTGGAATTGATTGATTGAACTTTTTAGTCCCACCCAGTCTGCTGTTACCACCGCAGCCACACCCACTCAATGGGCCACGCCCACCCAATGGGCCACACGCACCTGGCACCCGACGATGCATAAGTGGGTTTGGGGTTGTAGTTTGGGCACTCGGTCTCTAAAAGGTTCGCCATCACTGGTTTAACCTTATGCTTATGTATTTTTATCTGATTGTTAGCCGCCCTGAGTCCGCAAGGAGAAGGGCGGGATATAAATTTAATTAAATAAATAAATAAAATAAAATGCTTGGTTGGGTTTATTTGGGACTAAATTTAACTTCCTGGGAATAAATCATTTAGATCAATGTGACTCTTTTTCAATATAGTAAACTTTCAGTATAATGAATGTTGGTTTCACAGATACCTAATTTAATGGACAAAACTCAGGGAATCAGGTTTTGTCCAAATTTCAGGCAACAATGGATTCTTTCCAAACAACAGACAGTTATTTATTTGGTTAAACTGTCTGAAGAATGTTCTCTCTTCCCTTCAGTATTGGTATTGACTTATCAATAAAGTAAGCCTTGTGATGAACAAATTTCTTTTGGGGCTTGAAAATCTTTATTTTTGCCATTCAGTTTTACTAGATGTTGAGACTCTAGAAAGAGTACAGAGTAGAGGAACAAAAATGATCAGGGGATTGGAGGCTAAAGTATATAAGGAACGGCTGCTGGAATTGGGTATGTCTGGTCTAATGAAGAGAAGAACGAGAGGGGACATGATAGCAGTGTTCCAATATCTCAGGGGCTGCCACAAAGAAGAGGGAGTCAAGCTATTCTCCAAAGCACCTGAAGGCAGGACAAGAAGTAACGGATAGAAACTAATGAAGGAGAGAAGCAACCTAGAACTAAGGAGAAACTTCCTTACAGTTAGAACAATTAACCAGTGGAACAACCTGCCTCCAGAAGCTGTGAGTGCTCCAACACTGGAAGTTTTTAAGAAGAGACTGGACAGCCATTTGTCTGAAATAGTATAGCGTTTCCTGCCTGATCAGGGGGTTGGACTAGATGACCTCCAAGGTCCCTTCCAACTTTATTAGTATTAGTATTAGCATTAGCATTAGCATTAGTACTACTAATACTAATACTAAACACCTGCCCCACCAAAAAACCTAAATTGGTGGCTTACTGCGGTCCCACCACACTTAACAAACAAAGACTAGCACTTCAGTTGCACAATAATCTAACAGGGAGTAATCCCCATTAAAAACAACAGGGCTTACTTTTGAATAGACATTTATAGGATGTCTATTAAAACCTGGAACACAATCCAAATTCACTCAGAATATAACTGAGTATGAACATGGACAGCCAAGTCTATTGAATTCCAGAGCAGGGAAAGAAACAGCAGAATAACTTGTGCTCAAGTCCCAATTCATTTTGACGATACACAATAACAGGTACATTGTATATGGATGGAAGTTGGACCGTTTTGAACTCTGGAGTTCAAAATGCAAAGCTAATGTGCGCAGGATTTTTTAAATTATTGTTTATAGCAAATAGTACAAATATTCAACAGCATATTGTTAGAGAGAAATGCAATTAAATTAACACAAGGAAAACTGCAAGCCTCTGTGTTCTGTTGTAATATATAATATACAACAAGAGTGTTTCCAAGACAATTGGAAAAAGAAATGGATGCTAAATGTATTACTAGAAAATATAAAATCACAAATAGAGATGGATTTTAAATACATAGAAGAAAAATTGGAATCCATTTTGACTCCTGGCACTTGATATATCCTAATATTTGAATTGGCTCTTTTCCAAAAGAGAAATACCAAACTTTAAAGATAAAATGGAAAATAATAACCTTCATCCACAAAGAATGTTGCATTATGTAAACTGGGACCTATAGCTGATAAAGCAGAAGAAAGCAGATCATCTTGGCATGCAATTATTTTCAAACGTTTACAGAGTGGATAACAAGCAAATGAGATGAACCATCTCAGTTAAATTTCCCCTCATTCTCAGTGATTTGATGAAAAACCTTTCTTTCCAAGCAACTCCAGCCATTCTTTCCTTGGAGGCAACAACACTAAAAAAATAAGCACTAATCAAAGAAAAAAAAATTACCCTCATCTACTGGCTGATTATCTTCCCAGCTCTTGATGTAGTCATCCTGTTAAGGAGAAGGAAAAAAGAGCAGGTTAACTATTTAGACCATAGAAAACGTCAGCAATAGAAAAATCGTGTTATTCAGAATGCCAGGTAAATCAAAAGATTTCCTCAATCTTGGGCCTAGCATTTTAGGACTGGAATTTGGGGAAATCTCTAGTTTGAACACATCCAAAGACTACTGAATTAGGAGGAACATTAATTCAGAGGGTGCAATATGTGATACAGATAGTCCTTGGCTTATGACAGTTTGTTTAGGGACCATTTGAAGTTACAACAGTCCTGAAAAAAAGTGACTTAGGACTGTTTTCACACGACTGTCGTAGCATCCCCATGGTCACATGATCAAAATTCAGACACTCGGCAACTGACTCATATTTAGGACGGTTGTGATCTCCTTTTGCAAACTTCTGACAAGCCAAGTCAATGGGGGAGCCAGATTCACTTAACAGTTGTGTTACCAACTTAGCCACTGCTGTGATTCCCTTAACGACTATGGCAAGAAAGGTCGCAAAATGGGTCAAAAATCACTTAACAACTCTTTCAGTCACATAAATTTTGGGCTCAATTGTGGTCATAAGTCGAGGACTATCTGTACCTTCTTGATAGACCTAATTCCGGAAACAGAAACCATGATCTGCTTGCAGTTTCTGTTGGAACTACTTTTGTTGCATGAGAAGAATGTAAAGGAGACAAAAAAAAAAACTGCACACAAAGAAAAGGAAATGAACAAAACCTAACCCAGGGAATTTGCCCATGTTCAATTAAAATGTTTAAGCCAGGAGTTTCCAGAATATCAGGCCATATCCTCATTCCTCTTATTATTTTTAATGAGATTTTCCAAAAGTGGCAAGCCACAAAACAAAATAACAACCCATTGTAAATCAGTTCAGCATTTTCTGGTTTAAAAGTCTTGTGCAATTAAAGATAAACATGCTCACTCAACCAGAAGAACAAAATAAAAATGGTCTAATGATCCAGCCCTCGGGGTACAAGATTGTCATTCTGTTTCATCGCAATCTCAGCAATCTTTTTTGTTGAAGCTTAGAATTGATTGACATGATGCTTGTGGAACATCACCGTGCTTTTTTTCTCTCCTCATGATACAGTGATCATGTGCAGTAAATTTGATTTCCTAATTTGATTTCTAGATGATGGAAACTGATAACCTTGCCATGGTGGTTAACAGTTTTACTAGTCTACTGGTAAAAGGAGAAACTTGTCAATAAGTAAAGAACAGCCAAAAACATGCAAATATTTTTGCAGAAATGCTTGCTGAATATTTTCAAGGGATCTGTGCAACCTTGTAGAACAACCCTCAGTCTACAGGAGCTTTTGATTTACGCTTAACATACTGACAGAATTGTCAACTTGCATGTATTTTAAGACAACCAGACATTACAACAAAAATGCTAATGTAAATCATCTATTTCAGTGAGGAACTTGCAATGAGAAACCTGGAATGAGAAAATGATGACAGAGTCAAGCGGTTGTTTGAAATGAAAAAAAAAATGCATTTATCTTAGGTGATTCCCTACATAACATGTCATAATATTCATAGTTGTTTTCTTTTGCTAGATGAGGCGAAGTCTGCGCTGCTTTTCATGCAATCTTATGGATTATGATGGGAAACAAAGGAAACCTATGATGTCTAAAATAAGCTTTTCTTTGTGATAACTCAAAGGCGGCATTTCTGCCATGCACCATTTTCCTTGAAGTGATGTGGTAGAAGAAGGAGGTGGGTGGACTTGAGTATAAAAGGAGATATTTTGAATTCAGACAACAGCCTCTTTAAGGGGAGATGACAAGGTGCTGCACATTTAGCTCCATTTCTCCTGCCAATCTTTAAAATTAAAGGCTGGCTTGGAAAGAGAAGCTTTTGTTCCGATCTAAACAGCTTTTGGGGAAGTGTCAAAATTGCTGCTTCTCAAATGGATTGGATAGAGAGAAAAAAAATGTGAGACCTGACTCACATCTGTGAATTGGCTGTGGAAATGATTTGGAGATGGCACACAGACTTTTAGCAATTTGCGTTTTTATCAGAATTTATAGGCAATCCATAATAGCCGGGAAGATCTGGCCCATTTTTCATGAACCATGTTCCACCACTTAGAATGGCTTTTAAAACCAGCTCACTCCAAAGCACTGTGTTAGAGAAGACAAAGGAAGATGGCACAGGACTGATGAAATGAAAAGTAGATTTAAAAAAAAAAAATCTATACTGACCTCCACCTCCTGGAAATTCAGACCGCAGCAGAAGGACAGCAGAAAGAGAGAGAGAAAGAGAAGGTAAACAAAAAACAAAAAACAGACTCTCTGTGCACGAAAAAGCAAGTACAAAGTGGTTAAAATGCATACCAGCAGGGCAGGGTAACCAATTGTTTTTTTTTCTCTATTGCATAACTTTCTATTAACATCAGAATTCATTCTCCATAAACGATGCTTTATTAACCATTCTGCTGGGGTCATTTTATGGGGCCACCCGGAGTCATAAATTTGAGATGGACGGCTGTATAAATTGAAATAAATAAATAAATAAATGTTTGCTTTGATTTGTTTGTCCAGCTGAAATGCGTTAAG